GTACAGAGATTACATCTTGCAGTTAATACCCGCTTTGGATGAAATCACCTTTGAACATATTCCCAGAGATGAAAACCAGTTGGCTGATGCTTTAGCTACCTTATCATCAATGTTCTCGGTGAGATTTCTGAATCATGCACCTAATATACGCATCCTCCGGTACAAAGAGCATGCACATGTCTTTCCCGCCCATTGTCTCTCAACCGAGGATGTGTCTGATGAGAAGTTGTGGTATTACGACATCAAACGTTACCTCAAGAAGCAAGAGTATCCCGAAAATGCTACAATTTGTGATAAGCATACACTTACAAGGTTAGCATCCAAGTTCCTCTTATCAGAAGACGTCCTGTACAAGAGAAATTATGATTCGGTTCTGCTCAGATGCGTGGATAGACACGAAGCAGAGTCGATCATAAAGGAAATCCATGAGGGTTCTTTCAGGACTCATTTGAGCGGGCATTCTATGGCAAAGAAAATCTTACGCGCAGGATACTTCTGGATGACAATGGAGAGTGATTTTTGTGTATATGCATAATTGTTCCATAAATTCCAAGTGTATGCAGACAAAATTCATGTTCCTCCAACTCCTTTGAATGTTATGACTTCCCCATGACCGTTTGTAATGTGGGGAATTGATATGATTTGGAGGATTGAACCAAGTGCTTCGAATGGTCATAGATTCATTCTAGTGGCTATTGATTATTTCACCAAATGGGTGGAAGCAGCTTCTTATAAGAATGTAACCAAACATGTCGTTACCAACTTCATCAGGAAAGAAATCATATGTCGTTACAGAGTTCCTCACAGAATCATCACTGACAATGGTTCCAATCTTAACAACAACATGATGAAGGAGTTGTGCTAGGAGTTCAAAATTGAAAATCACAATTCATCACTGTATCGACCAAATATAAAAGGTGCAGTTGATGCTGCTAACAAGAACATAAAGAGGATCATCCAAAAGATGGTCAGAACATACAAATATTAACATGAAATGTTGCCTTTTGCTATGCATGGCTACAGAATGTCTATGCATACTTCGACATGGGAAACTCCATTTTCTCTTGTCTATGGTACAGACACAGTGCTTCCTGTCGAAGTAAAAATTCTGTCGTTGAGGGTTCTGATGGAAACCAAGCTTGATGAGGCGGAGTGGGTTCAAACAAGATTTAACCAACTCAGTCTGATTGACAAAAAGCGCCTGGCAGCCATTTGTCATGGCAAGTTGTACCAACAGAGTATGAAAAGAGCATTCGATAAAAAAATCTATCCTTGGAAGTTTTATCCTAGTGATTTGGTCTTGAGAAAGGTCATCTTGCAAAGCCATTATGATCCAAGGGGCAAATGGACTCCCAATTACGACGGACCATATATCATGAAGAGAGCCTTTTCAGGAAGTGCTCTAATCCTGACAGACATGGATGGGTAAGACATTCCACTCCCAGTCAATTCAGACTCAATCAAAAAATACTACGCATAAAGAGACCCGCTCAGTCGAAAACCCGAAAGGGCGATTTAGGCAAAAATGGGCATCCCGGTGGACATGAAAGTCTAGGCAAAAATTAGGGATAAAATAAAAACTAATAACCCACTAAGTTGAAAACTCGAAAGGGCGACTTAGGCAAAAATGGGTATCCCGTTGGGTTGAAAACCCGAAAGGGCGATCCAAGCAAAAGTTAGGGATCTTAAGCGGGAAGTTGTGGTCTGAATTCTCTTCACGAATGACACATGCACATCTATAGCACCTTAGCAGTGAGTTGGTCGGTCCAACTGCTACTCTTCAGAGGCAAGGCGTTGAGACTACTGAGGATATGGGAATTGTGGAAATACCAGTTTTAATGGAAATTCGAGCGTCTCTCATTGCCATTTATACTTGTTGTATTTTCCATTTCTATTTCGCAGCTACCTCATACAAGAGTTGCATCCTTGTACAAATGCTTATTCTTGGGCCTATCCATAAAGTTTGTTTTCATCAAAAAATTGTCTCTTACTATCATAAAATGTTTTTCGTATGCAGAATGTGTTTTATTTGTTATTAAACATTGCATCAGAAACATGGGGAATAAAAATTCTCAAGCTGCGATGAAACTTGACTTTATGTTGATATATAACCATGAGGGAGTGTCGTATGCATTCCAAGTGTTGTTTTTCTTTGCAGGTAACAATTTATAATGGTCACCCTGACCTAGCCAAGGCACGAAGTTGCCTTCATCTACTACAGACAACTTCGAACCTCATTTCCCAAGTGAATTCATAAATTTTGGAGTCGCCGTTTGACTTGGAACGTGTAAGTGCATCCCCAGTGGAGTTAATCAAGTGCATCATAGTGGAACTAAACCGAGGCATTCACAGAGCTAAACCGGGGAATTCACATGTGTCCATTCCCATCTTTTATCCCCAAGTGATTCAAGAGGTAATTCCCTAGTGTGGCGTAAACTTGGGGCATGTATTCGAAGAGATCCCCATGGTGTTCAATATCTATTCTTTGGCATATTCAGTCCTACCATCCTCTTAATGGTTCAGGATGTATGGAAGTCTGGCCAAATTATCTCTTCCACAACAACACAATTCAAAATTAAATGGCGTACCTGAAAATTCACTTTGTCAGCAATTCAATCTCTAACAAAGTCACCAATGATCTTCGATCTTCAAAACCCCCAGTGCAAATTCTTACCAGTATCTCCAGCGATCTTTGATAGTACAGGTTTCCAGCGCCAGTTTGTATTGGCGTCTCCAGTGATGAGCAATAATTCCCAATGGGCCTTCGCTTATCCCCATGAAGTCTATTTCTTTGCATTTGTGTATAGTTATCACTGCATAACATTGCATCCTCAAAAGTGAATAGTCGATCCATCAAAATGGATCTTTGTGAAAAAAGAATTTCAAACATGCATACGAAGCATAAGCCAGATCAGGTACCTTACATGAAAGACCTAAATCATTCAAAAACAGCAATACATCCCTACAAGAGGATATCACTTCCAAAACCCCAGCTGATGACCTTCACCTTCACGATGCCCAGCTAACCGTGCCAGTACCTCATCCAGCTATTCCCAACAAAATCAATACACTTTGTCATTCTAAAACCAATTTTCGTCTGGTAGCTAGTCCCCGTCTAATAAACAATTCAGTCTTCCGACACTCGTCTGTGTCAGTTTCCCTAAACACTCGTCTGTGTTTAACCTGTTGGTACTTGTCTGTATCTTATTCCAATACCCATTCATATTGATTCAAACACTCATACGTGTTTAATCTTTTGATACTCATCTGTATCTTCTTTCAATACTTGTCTGTATTGATTCAAACACTCGTATGTGTTTAACCTTTTGGTACTCGTCTATATCTTCTTCCAATACTCGTCCGTATTGATTCAAACACTCGTCCGTGTTTAACCTTTTGATACTCATCTGTATCTTCTTTCAATACTCGTCCGTATTGATTCAAATACTCGCCCATGTTTAAACTTTTGATACTCGTCTATATCTTCTTTCAATAATCTTTCGTATTGATTCAAACACTCGTCTATGTTTAACCTTTTGATACTTGTCTATATCTTCTTTTAATACTTGTCCGTATTGATTCAAACACTCGTCCGTGTTTTAACCTTGATACTCGTCTATATCTTCTTTCAATACTCGTCCGTATTGATTCAAACACTCGTCCGTGTTTAAACCTTTCCTTGATACTCGTCTCTATCTTCTTTTAATACTCGTCCGTATTGATTCAAACACTCGTCCGTGTTTAAACCTTTCCTTGATACTCGTCTGTATCCTCTTTCAATACTCGTCTATATTGATTAAAATGCTCGGCTGTGTCTAAACCTTTCCTTGATGCTCGTCTGTATCTTCTTTCAATACTCGTCCGTGTTGATTCAAACACTCGCCCTTGTTTACCCTTTCTTTGATACTCGTCCGTATCGATTCAAGCACTCGTCCGTGTTTAACCTTTCTTGATACTCGTCCGTATCTTATTTCGATACTCGTCCATATCAATTCAATCATTCTTCATGTCCTAATCGACGTCTCCTACGAATCATCGTGTCCTGATCGACGTATTCATATTAGCCATCGTGTCCTGATCAATGTCTCCCTTTCGATTATCGTGTCCTGATTGATACCTCTCATGCGAATCATCATGTCCTAATCAATGTATTCTTGTTAGCCATTGTTTCCTAATCGATGTACTCTGATGTCTCCATGTCCTGATCGACGTATACTTCCGGTTTAGTCCAACCTCTTTTAATTACCCCGTGGATGTTACGAAATAAATGCTCATTACCACCATCTTTCAGGACAAATTCTGGGCATTGGTATTTAATCATCTTCTACCTCAAACTTCTGAAAGACACGCGCAAATTGTACTTTCAGGTTTCAGACGATTAAATAGGGGCAACTGTAATACCCCAAATTTGTCCTACCCCTTTCACTTTTATCTGGCTTATGCATCTCGCACTTTTCACATGCACATAACTTCCATTAAGTCATCTAAAACATCATGCTTCATTAGTCAATAAAGTTGGCATTAGGATCATGGGCTTGGTAATTAAGGTTTCTCTTTGGGGTTGAGGCTTTCATCTACATTAAAGAGCAATTCACGTTGTTTCTTCAACGTCATGGTATGAGTTAGGGTTTATTTACCTATTTCATGTGATAATCAGAGGATCTCAGTAGTGGTATAAGGTACAAGTTTTGTGCAAGATTTGATGCGTACATGACAAGATAGGGTTCACATGTTCATTTTACTCCTCATAATCAGTTGAAGTGGCGCTTCATTACTTGGGCCACAAGTTTTCTTATTAGATATTATTGGGCTTTCATCCATGGGTTCGTTAAAGTTTGTAAGATAAAGAACATGGTTAATTTCTTGTGGAGAATTATGAAAAAGGCTTTTGAAGTTCATGTCCATGAAATAATTGGAAAGAGAAAAGGATTCAAGCTTATGTGAAGGAAAAATGTCATTTACATGTTTTAAAATCCAATACATAATCAAGAGCATCAATTATGAATACCAAACATCCATTTCAAATTTGTTATATTGGAAATTATACAATGTTTGACCTACTGATTCAAATAGTTGGCCAAAATCAACCCACCACCCCAAGACATGGTTGTTCGTCAGTTGTTATCTTCAAATGCTTTGCAGAAGACCATGATTATCTCAAATACCTAAATCAATTTGCAGTATGCATGGTACATATAACCTGTTACATCATTCTCTGTTCCATCCACAAGACCAAACACTATTACATTCATCTTCACCTGCCATGTTCTAACCTTGATATACCCATCATGCACGTCACCACATAATCAGTCCAGAAAGAAACTTCATGCACTACTATACTGGACCAGGCTCATACCAGAATGCCACAATGCCAAGTTTCAGTATAAACCACATGCCTTTAAATCAGCTGTATATTTGCTCCTTTTGCACTTCAGGTTACCAGCATAATAGTTATTAGGAAGAACCTGCATCGAAACTTACATCATCAATACCATTCAAAACAGTCTCTATATAAAACAGAAGCTGCTCATATAAACTACAAAACTAATCCAGCAATATGAAGCCAAAATCAAAACATTTTGCCAGCCTTGTATAAGCCCTATAAGTTTTAGAAAATAACTGGATCTAAAAGTAATAGCAGTTCGGGTAATCCAAGGCAAAACTGGATCCGCTATTAAATCACAACAGTTAGGGTTAAAACTACTTAACAGAAAACCATAACATGAATTTAAACTAACTAAAACCGTTTTTCATTCAACTCTAACTAACTTTTAACCGACAAGCAACAAACAAAACAGCTCCTAACAGAGTTTCAGAATCCCTGACTAATTATCCTAACAACCTATAACTTCTCAACAAAAATATAACTGAAAAATCCAACATATTTTTCTAACTGATTCATAACTTTTCCTAAACTACCTAACTAATTTACTAACATAATTTCTAAACACCTAACTATCAATAACTAACCAATGCGATCTCATCAATCTGGTGATAACAAAAATTCAACATACTCTCATAACAACCATAACAAAATCCTCAACCTAGATCTATCTCCACCATTCTCTCCCTCTGTTGAAGACCTTCACCCTCATTCTCGATCTTCAACTCTCTCACGCACCATTCATCATCCTCCATGATTTTTCTCTTCATCTCCCTCACGTACCAGAACCGTTCACCCACACATTCACTCTTCCCCTCTCCATCATATTTCATCCATAATCATCGCTCTCCACATTCACTTTCATTCTCGCTATTCTCAATCTTTATCATCTCTCATCCTACACTCTCTGCTACTCCTAGAGCCACCCTGTAACCACGCAATAACCATACCGCGATTCAGTAACTATACAGAGTCACGTACAAGAGACTGAGATAGGGAGAAATAGAATACAAGAAGCGCGTAGAGAACATAGGAAGAAGAAGGAAAACTCGCATTCGAAGAGCTAAAGAATTGGAATAAGCAATACCTGGTTTATTGCAGTAATCTTTGGGTTTCTCTTTGTTACTACTTTCACCGGAGCTGATAACTGACGATTACCGGGGAAAACCACGTCCTCGTCAGTAAGTCTACTTCTCGTTTTTTCACTCTCTCCGTCGAATCTTCATACTATATCCTTCTTGATGTCACGATCATTTCCCCAATGATTCTGGCATGAATACGCGCAGTGGCTCCATTCGATTGCGACTTGATTCTGTTAGGGTTTTTGTATGTGAGTTAGATCTAAGAGATTGGGAAGAAAACTGAGGAATTCGACGGGGACTTTGAGTTCAAGATGTAAGAATGATTCATAAAGACCCGTGGTTTTAGGAGGTAGGATGGTAGTGATGGTCACGGCGATGCTGCCGGAAATCGTAAGAGATGAGACAACTCTGTGTTGTGAATATGAAAGTCACATAACACATGAACCCTATATCCTCCCCGCGTTTATTTTTATTTTATTTTATATTTTTAATAATAAAATCTGATTTAGAAGTTGTTGTAGATTATGCTTAGAATAGTAATGGACTGGATTTATCGACCTTGGGCCTTAAATGCACATACAATCCTTAAGCTCATACCATATTTCCTTTTTGTGATTGAGAGAGCTATTGTTACAAAAAACTGTTAATGGACTGGAATGTGATTCGTTGGGCCTTGCTTCATAGTTGGGTCTATATTTTTGAACAATATGGGAATTTGTGACAAAAAAAACTGGTTATGGACTCATTTCTGGATTGGGCTTAGATTTTGCTGGACATATCTTTTGGTTACTGCATCCCACCATCAGAATCCATTTAATACCCCCTGACTCTTTTATTTTAAATTTTAGTATTAGTTTTGTTTTTGTAAATAAAAATGCATGTAATAAAAACAATAAAAATGGTAGAATTTAATATAATTTATCTAGGAATTAATTCTCTAGTTTTTTGATAGAATTTTCCTCACATAAAAATAAAATAAAAATAGTCCTTTTTCTTTTAGGTTTTTATTCATATTTCATATCGCCGTGCCTCGTTATCTTTTTTTGACGCGTAACATAACAAGTTATTATGTGATCGAAGCATATGGCCTATGCTCACTTCCGATGCGACACACCTTATTTCTCATCATCCTGAGAAATTCATATCATATTAGATACTATCCTGATACATGTGATATTTTGTGATACTTTGTGCATGAACTTATGATTACGCGTTGCATTCGTAACATGCGTTTGCCTTTATCTAAGTTGGATATTATTCATGACTTTTTTTGTTTCTTGGTGAAGCTTGCTCGACACGTACTCCCTGCTTCTCCAATGCTTTCGTCTGCTCTTGACGACTTGCTCACTTTGGTAGTCGCCGCTACTACCTTCATACTTCTTCGCACTTTACTGCATTTGTTTATCGCTTTTCTAGATACCATGAGAAGTAGGAAATAAAGAGCGTGCACTCGAAGTCGTTATTTAAAGACTTGTAGCAGGAATTCCGCACTTCATTTTCTATATGTATTGTGCTTGTGTTTGTTTCTTTTCTTGTTGATCGATGAGTCACTCAATTTAGGAATTGAGATCATGACGTTGCTCTGAGTGCATGCTTCATATAGTATTTTGTCGCTTTCATTTATTTCTTCCTGATGGATGAGTCACTCAATTTAGAAATTGAGATCACGACTTCGCTCTTATTCCATGTTCCCTATAGGATAGTTTTGTTAGAATTTTTTTGGCATTCTAACCTAGATAGGATCTCTCTAGGTGTACTCTCTTGGGTTTATTAGCTTGTTTGCTTTATCCTTGTACATGCCATGATCCCTTAGGACGTAATTCCTCCCTTCGGACGCGAGTTAGACCTTAGGATATAAACCATGCATGCTAACATTAGGTAGACGTTTACCTTTTGTTAACCCAAACCTTATGACTACCATTGTATGATAACATTAAGTTAGAAATAGGCTAGTCTCCCTTAGACTCTCTTCTTCCCTCTTTGCATCCTTGCATCTAAAACTAAAAATCTTTTATTAGCAAATCAAAAACATGCTAATCACACTTAAACCATTTTTCAAGGTAATAAAACACAAACCAATTCAAACCTTTTTGTGCGCTCGAGCACCATTTCTCTAAAACCATTTTCAGTTAAGGACATTGTGATGCGGCGGGAGAACTGACTTGATTGTTTCGCTTTTTATCGCAAATGCTGCGGTTAGGAAGAGTCGCCACCAACTTTTGTTTTATCCAAAAGGAAAGGCAAAAAAGTACAGGAAAGACCTTTGAGATTGTTTCTTGAGTTCGGGGGGTAGATTATGAAAAGGGAAGGTATTAACACCCTTTTCATCCATGGTTTTCCATGGGCTCTTAGTTACTTGCTAGATCACTTGCTTTTGTTTGAATTTGTGTTTTGTGTGGTTTTGAAAGTATTTTGTAAAAGAGGCCATTTGTTTAGGCAATCTTTGTAATGATTCTAGTTTGTAAGAATGTATACAAAGATGTTGATCTTTTTGAAAATGTTTTCAAGTTTTGTAAGATGTTTTGAAAGTGTGAGTGTTTGTTTTTAAAATTTTTAAGGATATTTGTTTTGAAATGGAGCGAGTAACTAAAAGTAATCTACCTACTCAAATGTCTTTCTTATTCATTTTCTTTTCCTTTGATATTGTTGTCTTACCATTGATTTGGTAAGCAACCCTATCTTTGGATGTAAACGGGACGGACGTGAGTCATCGTATAGCCATGATTAGCAATGTTGCAAAGTATCTTAGCATTTTTTAGGGACTAAGATCATTTTTGTGAGGCAACTTTGGATAGCGTCATCGAGGGACTATGATCTTGTATTTGTTTATTTTTGCTAAGACATTTTACATGCGTAATATGGTCATTTTGTATAAGGCAACCACGTGGGATAACCCTAGGGGTGTTTTGTGTGCATGTGTGTAATTTTTATGCTTGATTTTGTCTTGGATTAGGGTTTTCTATTTGGTTTATTTTATCTTGCCATACAAACCCTAATTACTAGCATATTATATAAAAGTGATAAATTGCGAAATTTAAAGATTACTACGCTATTACAACACTTTGTGAGAGGTATACAATTTATGAATGGGGATCACAATAATATAAATCTAATTAATCTATTACAACCAAATTGAATATGTACAAATATTGGAATAAATAATATACAAGATAAATTAAATATGCAAAGATGTATGAATGCAAAGAAGATTTTGTTTGGTTTTTTTTATGTGAAAAAGTTTTAACCTAAACTTAATAAATAAATCAAGATTAAACTCAAATTAATTAAGAAAGAAAATTATTTTTTAGAGAAGGTTTTTAATAAACCCTAATTCTAATTTATCAAAAGGAAATAAATTTCTTTAAGAAAAGTAAGTATTTTTTTTATATTTTTATCTTGAAAATAAAATATGGCATCATGAGATATTTTTTGTCTTTTTTATGTTATAGTAAAATAAATATTTAATGAGTATAACGAAAAATAAATATTAAACTAGTCCTAATTTAATTTACAAAGTTAATTAAGAAAAATGGATAATATATTTAGCTAAGTAAAATATTTTTACATGAGAAAAATAAAATAAAATGAGCCAAAATACAAATCTATCATTTTTATATTTTTTAGGATTTTTAATATTAAGGAAAATATATTTAATAAAATAGAAATTAAAATAAAATGAATAATAAAAATATATGGGCCAGGGGTGCTGCAAGCAAACAAGAGGTAGCATGTTAGCAAAAACAAAAAGGCCCAAGAATGAGAGTCCTAGTGCTGCCAGAAATAAAAAAAAAATGAACAAAAGTGTGAAAAATGCAAAAAGGCAGGCGCCAAGGCTCGAACC